GTTAATTTGGATGATCATTTAGTTAGATTAAAAACTCCCTCAAGACACAACATTTGTCACAGAGATTATGTTCTCTGCACTGCTCCTACTCCAGTACACACTTCCTCAGACCAGATTCCAACTCCAGAACATTAAGGTATGACAACAAATCAAAACTATCCTACCCACAAATACGCCTCTTCTGCTGGTATAGGTTAGTCTGCACCTGCTGCAAGCCCAAGACTGTCACTTCATACAGCGGAGAAAACACACAGAAGTGCAAAACAAATAAAAAAACTCAGCTGATAAACACAGGTATTAAAAACAAGCTGTTTAATTCCAAGAAAATCCTGGTATCAATTAATAAATTTAATTTAAACCTGGCTATTTTGATTTTTGTGTGCTGATGAATTCATCAATGAAAAACAAACCACTCAAAACAGATTCATCATACTTGGTTCACATGTATCCACAGTGCCTCTGCATGGACATAATTAAATCTGTTTTAAAATATAACACTTTAAATATGTTAATGTAAAATTACAATTCCTTTAGTCTTTTCCCTATAGAGTTCTGTTTCTTGAGCTAAAAAAAGAAAAAGCTTTAGAAAAAATCATGCATAATATGTTAAATAGTCGAAAATCACAGTATCTAATTTTCCAGGGCTTATTTTTAAATTATATACAGAAAAATTAAAGAACACGATCTAAAATTCTAATAAGTGAACTAGTTGAGACCAGAAAAGAAAAATCTTAGTAACCGAAATACAAAAGAAGTATTTCAGCCTATAGGAGACTCTGTATGAAAGAAAAGCTTTTAAGCATCCAGAATGAACAGTTATGGATGTTTGAAACACACTTTCACTAAAGACAATTGGGGAAAAGAAAAGGAAATTTTATCTGGCCCAGCAAGCTATTTCAACATCATCTCCTCCCTACACATTCTGATATGACTGTATTACAAGAATGCTTTTAACAGAACAAAGTTATAAAAAGTTAAAAAATTCCAAAGCTAACTCTCAGAACTTTGCACCACAACTTTTAGCAGTACAGAAATGTCATTGGGAAACACTAAGGCTTCTTGTCCCAGAAAGGCTGAATATACCATCCTGAGGAACTGCCACCTCAAAACTTTTTAAAAAGTGCAAGGACTTAGGAAGTTTCTCAGAGTTTGTTAACCCATTGAAAAATCACAACTGTAAACAGTCAAGTAACTAGATTTTTTTCTACAAATATTTTAAAGGAGAATGAAGACCCAGGGAGAAAAGTGATGATATAATAATAGCATCTTATTCAGTAGCTGCATAAAGTTTTATAACTGGTTTATCCCTTGCTGCCACTTTTACTTCTATTAGTAATGCAAAATGGATGCAGTCAGAGAAGGGTGAGGTAAATTCTATTCTAACCTGTGCTCTGAAAGCAGAATCTAACAGCAGTGAGAGGCAAAGACAAAAATTGTTTCTTGCATACAAGATCAGCTCACAGTCTATGGATAAGTATCTGCAAAATGATACACCTTAATGCTGAAGTAACCGAGATACTTTTAAAGCACGTTGAAGTTTTTTTAGGCAAAAGCAAATAACTATACTTTCAGCAGTATTTCCTTCAGACAGGAAAGCACTCTTTTAAGTTTAATCTCAAAATTAAGACAACTTTTAAACCTAACCTTTTCTTGCACTTTGGAACTGGGGTGTAAATGTCAGTGTGACGAGGTGAGTAGTGATTCAGCACCTTGTCTTACAAGAGACACAGGAGCACACAATCACACTTGGAAAAGAATCAAAGTTCTGCTTGATGAACTTCTGACATACCACTCGGTGATTACGTAATTGTTTCGTTTCTGAAACAATCACATGCTTTAGCCACACCAAATCCCTCCAGCAAGAGGGAAGGCTCCCACAAAAAGAACCCAACCTGTAAACATGGTTCATAGAGCTGAATGGATGATAATTACCGTTCTACTTCCTGCCAGGAAGCAGCAAGAACTGTGAAACCTGATGAAGAAAGTACACAAACGAAGGTCCAGGTCTCCTGAGTTCAAAAAGGAAAATAAAAACCACAGGCACCTGAGAAAAGTCCTTTCATCTTGAATTATCAGAAGATTTACATGACTGATAGTTTATAAGTATACCTTTTGAACCCTATGTCCACCTTTGGGATTCAGATCCACGTTTAGATTTATTTCAGAATGTAAGCAGAGGAGAAACTGAAACACAGTTTTCCTCGTTCTTTAAAAAGACCAAATCTTCATTTAAAATTAGCAGATTAGCTAAGGAGACAATGTCATGTCGATTTTCTTAAACCAACACAACTCCCTATGGAGAGACATGCCAGGATTTCATCCTACTACTAAGGTGAAAATTTGGTCCTCAAACTTCCAATGAGCAGACGCTCAGCATCCCCATCTCACCTTTGCTATGAATTTATTTCCTGAAACCTGAAGGAGATGTAGGAAAAAAGAGAGTATGTACCTCTCACACATACACTTCAGATGTGTGCCTAATGAGAGACAGGAAAAACCAGTGGAGAGCCAGGACAGCAGAGGCAATGCAACCACTTCTAACCAGCAATTTTTAAAAGAGGACTTTATAGCAAAGAAAGAACTATCTCATATACCTCATATATGCATTTTTAAAAGTCACTGACAGCATGTTAAATGCACTTCTAAGAAAGGAACTAATCTTCTCCATCGTTACAGAATAGAAAAAAAAATGTATGTATGTAACTACAGTTTGAAAAAATGTTATCTTCTACTTAAAAACACCATTTCAAAGTATAACACGAAGTCAGCCTTACCCATGAGTGTTGCCAGAAGACAGAGCGAATACATCTCCTTATCCACTTGCTCTTGCAGATCCTTTGATGAGATTTTACTGGTCACAGCAATGTCTTCATGCTTCACAGCATGGGCTGAGTGTGCTGAGGCAGCCTGCCTGCCTTCCTCCTTACCCTTCAGGATTTCTATGGCAATCCTGTCACCATGCTGCAAAGGAACAGGCTCGTTTTCCATGCCTTCTTTGGGAGGCAGAAGCTCTTTCGGAGGAAAGCCATAGCGAATACATTGCAAATAGGGAGGAATATTAAATTCTCTCGCTATGCCTTCCTGCAGTTCCAAGAAGGTGGTGGTGCACTTCAGGGTAAGCATCGACTGCCTCCCATCATTGGTGGTTATTCGAATTTTCTTTTCTTTTGTGGATGTTGGAGAATATGGGGTTTTTGTTGGTGTAGCAGGTGCAGATGATGGCCCCTCACGAACAGCCCCAGGAGAAGCAGTCCTGGGTTGTCCTTTATGCTCTTGTTTCAATTTTTCACTTTTCCGTTTCTGCATTACAGAAGCTTGGTCCGCAATGTTCTGCTGAATAGTTCTTTCAGCTTTGCTCATATTCAACTCCTCCTTGTGCAAAGTTTTTGTCTTCTGTCCAGTCAAAATAATTTTGGTTGGAAGTTGTGACTCTAACTCTTGTCCTTGCTGTACGTCATCAGCTCTTTGGGCATGAGCACCATCGATATTTACAGGGGTATAGTCATCGGGGTTCTTTTTGGCAGTTTGATGCAATATTGTGTTGACAACTTTCTGAACAAGAATCTCACTACCAAATTCACCAGGGAAGTGCTTGGTAACAAGTTTCATGGCGACATCATACACATTACTGTTCAGAGATGTGTCACTTTCGTACTGGAACCAGTAGACCGTCTCTCTCACTACTCTTCCACCCCACTCCAGAGTAATAGGAAAAGCTTCAGGCAGATTGTCATATTCTTTACCTTCCCAGTAGTGCTTGAATCCACAGCCACATTTGCCACCTGTAGACCTAGTATTAGTTCTGTCTCCATCAATATATGAAACAGACCCATCTTCTCTGACTCGACGCATTAAGTTACCATGACACCAGTTACAAACAGTCAAATTGCTCAGGCCATAGTCTGGTACCAGCACATCCTTCGCGGGGTTGTAAGAACACACCAAACTGTTCAGGGGAAAACTGTAATTTTTGTCGGGCCTTAGCTGGCCATGGGTGCTTTTTGCCAGGTTATACAGCTTCCCCCCGGGAGCCAGCCACTCTGGGGGAACATGATGCTCTGAAAGGGCCCCGCAGATGAGGCACCTGTGAAGGCGGTTGTCCATCACTGCTTTTTTGGCAGCTGCAGTGACCTCTTCAGGCTGGACCCCTATTACACCAGTCCTTCTGTAGAAATACTGATGCACATCAGCTACAAGACTGGGGTGGATACCATGTTTACTCATGAAAACCTCCTCCATTGCAGCAACGAGCCTCATCAAGTACTTGTCCTGCAAACTTCTGTCTCCTCCAATGATGCAACCACCGTCCTCCTCTAACATGATGTACTTTTTGATGAGGTCTTGAGGAACTCCCCAGGCTTTAGGAAGTAGCTTTCTAGGCAGCTTAGGTAAAGCAGCACCTTTTATTCCAACGAGAGGAATATAATGGTTACGTCCTGAGCTACTCCATGCAATGCAGATCGGCTTGTTCAACATGCCATCTTTTCCCATGCATTTTTCCAGGGGTATCAGACCAGGGAGGAACGTCGCTGAATAATCTCCAGAGCTTCGCATTCCACTCAAGGAGTCTAACAGGATAATAGGCCGATGAAGCACGTTGGCCAGACCAAAGATGTGAATATTCCTAAGGCCCATTGGCACACCTTCTGGAGGAACAAACAAAGGGTCACATTCATTGATAATGTCCTCCCACTCTGCTGCATCGATAAAGTCGTGGAAAAGTGCCTTGTAGTGACTCAGATTCTCCTCAAAATGCTTCTTTAGATTCTCTCGCAAAGCATGCCAGAAGAGTTCCCTGCCAACTAGCGCTCGCGAGACTGCGTGGACAAGGCAGTGGCCATCTCCATCCACGTGGACAGGGATGAGGCACTCTTGACTGTTGTTGGCCTTCTTTATGTCTTCCAGGGTGTCATGCAGGTAAATGAGGCTGCCGGAGCGGTCCTTCCCATAACCGATGGTTTCAACGTGCTCCGGCTCGATGAGGAAAGCGCGGTCGCCCAGGAGGGAGCAGTCGAAGATGTCTCCCTGGTTCATCTCCGTGAGGAGCTTGGCTTTGCCAGTCTGCTTGTCCATCCCGTAGCGGGCCAGGATGGGGGCCAGGAGCTTGCAGTGATAGTTGGAGAGGCCCATGACTTTGACGAGCTCGGTGTTCCTGCGGGGCGGGCCGGCGCCGCTGACGCCCAGCAGCGCGTTCCGCAGCAGGTTGTGCAGCACCAGGTCGGGGTCCGTCACCTCCTCCACGGCCAGCAGCTGCCGCTGCTCGTGGCGCCGCCCGCAGTCCGTGCACTCGATGCTGCCGCTGCCCTGCGGCCCGTGCGCCGGGAAGAACAGCCGCGCCTGGCATTTGGGGTCGGGGCAGGTGCCCGAGAAGATGCGCCGGTCCCGCTTCTTGGAGGCGGCCGGAGGCGGCGGCTGCGGCTGCTGCTGAGGGGACGGCGGCGGCGGCGGCGGCGGCTGCTGGGGCTGGGACATCGCTCCGCTCTGCCCGGGCTTCACCCGCACCCGCTGCTCCGCCGCCCTCACAAGCGCATCCCCTGTGCGCCGGACAACGACCGCCGCCCCTCAGCCGCCCGGTGCCACCCGAGCACGGAGCGCCCCCCGCCGCCCCCCGCCCAACGCGGAAGCGCCGCCACTCTCACCGCCCCTCGGCCGCCTCAGTGCCCGCAGCGCCGCGGCCTCGCGCACTTCCACGCCGGCGGCGCACGCGCGGCGCCGCGGGAGCGGCCGGGAGCGGTAGTGCCGCCCGCAGCGGCAGCCCGGCGTCGGGAAGGGAGGGGGCCGGCGCGAGGACTACAGGGACCGCGAGGCCGTGCGGCGCAGGGGGGCGGGAGGGGCAAGCGCTCGCGGGAATGCTGGGAAGTGTAGTCGGAGGTGGGTGGGCCGGGAGGGGCGCGCGGGGCGCTCGGCGGCGCTTGTTGCGCTTCCTGGGCATGCGGGGGGGCGAGCGCGGGTCTGAGGGGATATCCCATGTGTGCATCCCTCCTGTGTCCTCCCCGGGTGCTGGATCTGAGGTGACACCCCACGTGTAACATCCCTCCTGTGTCCCCTCGCCCCCCGCCCGCAGGGGCGGGTCTGGGTCTGAGGGGACGCCCCGAGTGTACTCTCCCCCTCTGTCCCCATCGGGTGTTAGATCTGAGGTGACACCCCACGTGTACATCCCTCCTGTGTCGCCTCGCCCCCTGGCATGAGCACGGAGATGAGGCTCCCTCCCGTGTCACCTGTGCCCCTGGACAGGCTCCGGGGGCAGAGGCGGCTCAGTCCCAACAGGTTGCCGCCGGCAAGAGGCTGCTACAAAGAGTCAGGGCAGGAGGCTGGCTCCAGCCTGCCCTTCAGCAGTGCTGCACAGAGGGCTCTGAGTGCCTGGGGATGACCCCGACGGATTCCTGGGCGCAGAGGTTTTCTAACAGCCCCGCAAACAGCACCTCCTGCCAGGCAGGATCCCCTGCGGGCGTGGGCACACGAGCTCTGACCCCAACCTGTGCCCCACAGCCGCCGCAGCCAGGCCCAGGCTGTGCCTGCCCTTTGAGCTCCACGGGCTTTCTGGAGCTAAACACACCCCCGTCGGGGTTTCGATTCCCGAGAAGCTACGCCGGGCTGCTTCTCCGGGAGGTGTGATATCTGAGCGGAGGTGTTCTCCAGCTGCCGGCTGCTGATAGCGACAAAACAAGGCACAACGAGACGCGAGAGCACGTTTTTAACACGAGTGATCCCTCCAGCTGGTGCTACGTAAGGAGATAATGAGGGAACGGAGCTGGCGCTTACGTTATCTCCAGTGGCCGTCTGAAATTATACTTTTGTAGAAATGAAATGGGATAATGTTCACAACTTCCAACCTAATTACAGCGGGCTGGCAGTGTACGCATGCGGAGAGCTCAAGGAGGGTTGTTGTCAGCAAACAGTGGGGTTAAGTTCTCTGAAAGCTATTCCAGATAGAGATTTATCCTTCAGTAAAGGAAAACTGAAGCTGAACTTTTGGAGGACAAGGTGGGACTTCACGGGATATTGCCAAGTACTAGAGTGACCCAGCCCTACAGATACAAGGGCAAAAGAAATTACCACTTCCTCCCTCCTCCATCATCCTTGTTCTACCAAACAAATGCCTGACATTTATATCCCAAGGCTTTACCTATTCTAGAGTCACCCAAATGATCAAAAATTAGAATAAAAATCATGGAGAATGTATTGTGCTTGTATTTTCCAAGACAAAGGGCATGTTACATTTTCATTAATCTAAGCAAATAATTTATGCATATGACATTTAAATTAAAAAGATTCAGATGATTAATACATAGAGAAAAATTCTGCTTCTGTGCTTTATCACAGGCTTAAGGAAAAAAATGGCTCCAGGCCTGGCCCCGTGACAGACTGAGCACTGCCACCTTCCAGTGACAGCAGCTGAGCTGTGCATGCTCATTCCCTTTCGGTTTCAGTAATTTGTCAAGCGTAGAAAATGTGTGTGTATGTGTGTGTGTGTGTGTGTGTGTGTGCATTCCACAGCATAATCTTTTATCTGATCTTTCAAAATACGTGGCAGATTTGAAGAGGACAAGGTGAAAATTATGAGACAGATGTTCATTCTTGGCTGCTACTAATTCTTTTTTATGTGTATGACAGTAAGGTAGCAGCATCACCAGCTCCATAATCCTGCCAATGTGCCTTGTACTTGGGGATAAATCAGCAGTCTGTGCCCATTCATACTGTAGCCTTCCCTTCATAAGTAGCGGGGACGCAGTAAAAATGCAAATAGGGAAGGCTCTGTCCTCTGTGAAACTGTGGCAGCTACTGAGAATGGGCACTATTCAGGGCATCAGCCGGTGACAATCCTGTGCTGACTCGTCCTGTGTTTTGAAGAAATGTCAAAGAATTTTTCTGTAACATCGTGGCCTCTGGAGCAATCCATTTCTTTGCAGGTGGGAAATAAACACTTCTGTTGTTGTTTGATAGTACTTTGCAGTAAATAATAAGGAGTACCCTGGTGAAATAATTCGCTTTTACTGTCAAAGCCAATGGAACTTATGATATTTTGTTTACTTCTCTAGCCAGATGTTTTTATGAAAGCACTCTGACTGTAAAGTCAAAATTCTTTCTCCTTCCTATTCCCTACATTAATTTCACTGATAAATTATGTTCAATACAAGAATCTATCTTTTATGGTGACTTGACCCTAATTAACATGGATGTTTTCGATGAATGACATTTGCAAGTTTTCCAGCTATATGCAGACTTATCATCAAGACTGATTGCCCAAGCAATTTCCACAACAATAAACTTTCATTACAGAATCTTTGATAAAAATCACAATTCTCTGGCAAGGTAATAATTTATGCAAATTAAATGCATCTTTATTTACAAGCTTTATACACTGTATCTGGCAAACAGGATAAGAAACTTCTGTGTTATATCGCTGAATACAGATTATGCAAGTAACTAAATCTTTAAGCAGCCTTAAAGGAAAATTCAGGAAATATAGTGTCTGCTGCCTTAGTAGGTACCCTGCAGAAGTGTAGCAATGAGTTCTACCAAAGATCACAGCAAGAACCACACTATTTTCACAGGGAAACAACAACATCATAGTCAAGAAAGCAGGATTACTTTCACATCCACCACATACTTGAAGATCACACTCATTACAAAGTTAAATCTATTTATAATGGGTCAGAAGAGTGATTAATTGTCAGCAACAGGATATATCTGAACCCGTGCCACTTTGTTGATGAGAACCAAGCACTGCCAGTCAAAATACTGGGCATTCATTTCAGGCTCATGATGCAAGATGTAAAAAGCTCAGTTTGATCTTCACCCAGTGCTACTCCCTCTCTTTTTTGTCATTCACCCTCAGGAAATGGGTCATTCCCAGGTCAAAGCAATTATTTCTCAGAGGGACTTGTTTCTTTGGAAGAGCAATGAGAAGTTTCCAGCTAAACAGAAGCAAGAGGCTTGTGCATCTTGCCAAAGATCAGATCACAATAAACTGGAGGATGTTCTATTTTGTCAAGAAGTGAAAGTTATTTTCAGCCTTCAGCTACACCTCAGCATGCTCTACAGAAAGGATAGCTAAAATCTGGTGTTATCTTCATTGAAACACTGGCAGAGCTGATCCTGCCTAGCCTGCAAGACTAGTAGTTTAGTCTGACCCAGCTCTAAAAGCTCTCTACGTTTACACCTGAGAAAAAGGAGAGAGAAAACACAAGTGTGAGGTAGAGGGGAAGATGGCAATATCATCACACCTCACAATGAACGCAACCCATTTCTATTTAGATATGACACTCTAGTGTCTAAAAAGCATGTGTAGGACTGCAACTGGCTTGTACTTATGATATCAAAAGTACTATTAGTAGTACCAGCTATCTACAAGGAGTCAACAACAGCATGTGCTCCACTGCACGGCACAGCTTTGAGTCCTGTGTAGTGGGGACTTGGTATTTATCGCTCCTGTTAAACCAATTCAGCACTCACTTCCAAACTGCTGCTGAACTGTTTTGCCCATCACTTGAGCAAGCATTTTTAAAAGCCCAAGCACTAACCACTACACTGTGGCATGACAAAGGGGTATTGGTCACAGGATTCCTCATGTCCTTGTCCTCAGAGGCAGTGTGCAGCCCAGCAGTGTTCTGGCAGGACAGGAATGACCACTGAGCAACTTCAGCTTTCATAAAGCTTTGGGTTAATTAATAGTTACTTGATGGTGGTTAGAAAACAGCACCTGACTTATCCATGGGGCCTGGATTGGTAACTCTTGTCCTGGATACATCCAGATGAATAACTTCCACATCCCTCTTCTACTGCCTCCCAATGATGTCCAAAACGAACAACTGTTTTCTCTCAGTGCTTTCACAGAGCTTGAACTGCTGCCATTGCAACAGGTTCAGCATTTCACACCACTAATAGATGCTCTCTGTTAACACTGATGTCATTCCTACACACAAGACCAAATTTGGGCTGCTCAGAATGTGGTATGTGTGTTAGCAAAACACGAGCTCGTTAGGAAAACAGCATGAAAAGAGAAATACTAGGCAGAGGTTCCAATACTAATTGCCATTATCCAAATAACTTGCTCAAAAGCTTTGCTGCTGCAAAGTCAATGCTCCTAATGTTTGCTCAGGTATAGCCTCATCCAGTAAGAGCAGCTTGACAGCTGACTCTCATGCAGGGACAAACAGGGCATCCAAGACAATTGGGGTTTTTTGCCAATGCTTTCCTTTCATTTCTTGGCTCAAAATCTGGTTCTGAGGCCCTATCTTGAAAGCATTTTAAATTGATTTCACATGCAAACTCCTCTGCAAAGTTAAGGCCCCGCATTTTTTTACTCTGAATATCCCTCTGCGAATTGATGTCAGCACAACTGGCAAACAAAATGGATTAATCAGGACTGTCGTTGTCCAGGAACTGTCAATAGAAAATCGATCTTTAGGGCAGTAGACCATTAAAAAAAAAGGAGAATGTAAGTGTTATTAGCTTAGATGTGTAACCTGATTATATGGACGCCTCAATAGCAATTACTGTGAATATTTATCTGCTTTCCATAGTGCTCTGTCAAATACAATTTGAAGGAATGGTACAATCCCATTACATGAAAAGATAAATGCCTCAAAATAAAATAGGTTGGGCAAATAACACACTCTCTGCCCTATTGATTTGTATGTTCACAGCATATAGTGTCACTGATCTCAC